GCGGGAGTTGCCATGGCAACGCAGCCCTCCCCGCCCTGTCGCCTCAGAGGCCCGGAAAGGCGGGAATTGCCGTGACAACGTGGCCCAGGCCGCCCCGCCGCCACAGCGGCCTCCGCGGCTTTTCAAATGCTGTCGCCGCCGGTAAGAGTTTCTCCCCTATCTTTAGAACATCCACTTTCATTAATTACAGGAGTCAAGGAGCAGAGACCTTAGTGATGATATACTGAGACACTTGCAACACGAGGCCAGAGCTTCCACACAGATTTATCTTGTCACAGACAAATGATCCCTACTGCGAAGCAAGGGATCCGGCAAGCCTCGGCCCTCATGCGGAAGCATGGTAAGACCAGAGGTGGCTGAGAAACCATGTGGCTGCTCCTGTCAAGGGAGCTCATTACACAGCAGCCCTTACTATCAGGGTACTTCCTTCGCCAGTCCTCCGAAGTCAGAAGAAAACGCAGCCTCAGCCACAAGCACACTGGGTATTTTTGATCCCTATGCTACTTGCAGAAACTGCACCCAAAGAAAAGGAGCATTTTACTACTTTAAGTTGTTTTACAACCTAGCATGGCATGTGAGTGGCTTGCTGCTAACACTGTCAGCAGGCTGCAGAGCACCTTACCATTAACTTGAGTCACCCAAAGTGAGTACCACAAAACAGGGTTTTCCTTAGAAGTCTAAGAACTCACTGCCATGAAAACGGATAGATCTGTTTGTTCCCTCTCTTGCTCCTCTCCCTACTCTGTGCCCCCACACCAGCTCTGGCTTTCAGGGAAGTGACTAAGCCTGACAAAGCATTTTAATTTTTGGTACTGGCTGCTTTTTTGTTGTTTTTCCTGGCAGTTGGATGAACTGAACTTATTCACAAAAGGGACAAAGAAACCTCTAGAGCCAGCTGAAGGCAGAAGGTGAGCTCACTCTTCTGAGCAGCCATGAACTGTTACACCAGCTCAGAGCGCCGAAGTATGGACTCTTGAGTCACAAACACCATTAAACCAACCAAAGCTGATTTCACCTGCTTCAGCATCCCTAGATCATAGTAATGGAAACAGGGTGCTGTGCAACCAAAATGCACTCAGCAGTGGCCAAATTCCACCCTCTAACAAGAAAAATCTAACAGGACAGGCTGAAGAGGTGCCTAGTGAGGAATATTATGCCATGCACACAGTGAGGAATGTGATCAACTTTGGGACCTGAGGGCTTGCAATACCCCACCTCAGATGAGGCTGCTGGACTGGCAGTCTGTGAGACGGAAGACTACTGAACTTCTAACTGGGATTAGTGCATTTCATAAACGTTATACGAAAGGGACACATTGTTGACACATTAAAAGGGAAAAGAAAGAATCCACAAAACAGCTTGTGGAGGAAAAGGGAACGAAACTGGTGTTAAATGTGGCAATTCCATACACTGGGACATGGCTTCATGTGCAGCTGTGCTACTTGCCCATGGCTCATTGCTGCCCAAAAGGGAAATTCTCCCTCACCCCTTGCCCTCTTTGATGCTTCCCCTACCCCTCTAATATCTGCAATTAGATCATGGAGAGCTCCTGCAAGCACAGAACTCTGTCATTGGCAACGAGCTGTTAGAGCAGCTCACTGCATGTTGAGGCTGCTGAATTAGTGAGGTCTCTTAATGTATGTTTTAAACAAAATGCCTCTTATGACTTAAGCGTATGTTACTTAATGTCAGGTACAGAGCTAGCCCCAAAACAATGACAGCAGTTGATTAAGTTTAACCCTAATGAAAATCAAGGCTGGTAGGGCATATATGTTTCACTTCTAGCTTCATTCTGTTCATCTCTTTAGCATTTATCTGTATATATTTATACATATGTGTACAACCACACATGCTTCCCTTTCTTTTTCACCAAGTACCTTATCAAACATGAGGACCTGGCTGTGAAAGCAACTCTGGCACCAGCATGCTGCATTGGAGTATCTCAACGGTGGATCTGAGAAAAATGCAGCAATTGACCAGGGTCAGAATGTGGAGTACCTACAAGATTATTTCTTGGGATTTGGACTCTTTCAGTGCTAGACGTTAAAGGCAGCAATTGAGAAGAACAGAGCAGATGTTCAAACCCCCTAGAGGGGCACAGCAGGACTGTCAGGACCACAGAAGCAGTGTCTCCAACTGCAGGCAGTTGCATCGGGCACAAATTTCAGGGTTTTGGCGCAGGTGGCTGCAGGGGTGATCTGTGTGGCAAGAGGCCAGGAACTGCCCTGCCTCGCTCCAAACATGTTCCAACCCGCTCTGAAATCCTCAACAACCCATGACACCAAAATGGCAATAAATCAGTGGTGCCTCTGCACGGACAGACTTGAGAACAGGCAGCAGTTGTCAGCAGAGGAGCTCGACACCAGAGCAGGCACCATCTTTCCAGCAAGTTAAAAACAGACATCAGACTTCAGAAACTGACTGTAAAATGAGGCTGAATAGACTTAAACTCTTTCTCCTCATCTGTTTTGAAAATGCAGTTTACTTCTTACGTGCTTATCATGACTGGAAAGGCTGAGTGTCGCTAGCATGACAACAGTCAGTATCTCTGCCTTGAAAAACACTTTAATTAATGAAGAATTATATTTGACTGCATGGGCAAGACAGAAAAAAACCCAAACAAAAGTAAGGATTACAAAGACACAGATCACTGCTGAAGGAAGACTTCTAGCACAATGGTTAAGGCACCAAGAGGAAAAGCAAACGATTTGCAACTCGTCACCTGTTGTAGCTTTCTCAAAAAGCATCTCAGAATGGATCATTTATTTATGAGAAACTCTCCATTCACAGAGAGATGCAGGCAATGAAAACAAACAGTTCTTGGCTTGGTGTGCTGTCCATGCTTGCAATAAAATTTCAGGTTTGGTTTTGTTGTTTTTTTAAGTTCAAACATCAGAAGACACTGCTTTGAAGTATTTTGTTACAAATTTCCCAGAACCGAGTTAAAGTCTATAGATCATCACTGAGGTTCAAAAAAAGCACACATTTAAAACTTACAAACTTAGGCGACTAGCACAGCAATGTAAACTGGTGCTTTGCTTGCTTTCAAACATGTACACTGGAAAAGTATCTCATTAACAGCAAAGAAAGGCCAAAAGTTGGTTTAACAGCAACAGACAAAACAATCTAGCAAGAATACTTCCTCTGCTGCGCAGCAGCTGGTCAGCTCTTCACCAGCCTCAACTTCCTACAGGCCTCAGCTTCCTCACGTGTTTAAATTGTAATTCTTTGAACAACGTTAGTTTTAAACTCAACTGAAAAACAGTATTTGGTAGTCCCTCTAAAAATGGGGGGACATAGTGTTACAGCCAGGCATGGTAGTTATGTGAATCTTTAATGATAGCTATGACATTACTAACGACTCATTTTCAGTTGCTTTTCCCTCTTTTGGTATAACTTTATCATAACTGTCTTTCAAACTAACTAATTTTTTAATATTATGTGACTCAAACCATTTTGCATATGAGAACTAAATAGCACTAAAGACAGGTCATAGTCTCATATAAGAATGAAATTGCAGAACACTAGCACAAGAAAACACAAGTATCTCTCTCCTAACAACAGTGAGTTGGATCTGCAGCTGCCTGCCCTCTATGAACAGAGGTAAATACAAGCCTACAACCACTTACACTACTGGCATCTAAGAAAGATCCTTGCCTTTGGCAGTGCAAGAATGACCTGGTTTTTCCCTCTTTGTCCAAGAAATGAGTTAGTATGTGTGTGGGAGAGGAAAAGAGCATGTCTGCAAGACTGACTGCCCAGTTATACTCTTGTTAACTGTCATGTGAACAATGCAATTCAACAAATGAGCTGAAGCGTGGTAGTAGGATTTAGATTAACTGAACAGCACTTGTGCCGAGTAAAGCTTCAACCTTGCAGTTGGCAGACACCTGAAAATACAGACTCGGTGTTTTGCTTGATTCCTCTGTGGAATGTGCATCCTTTCCAAAAAAGGCTCCCAATTCTCATTCTAAGAGAAGACGATCAGTTATGCTTGGTTTTAGACACCAACAGTATTCACATTCAAAGTTATGTAAACGTGAGTGCTAGAAAATAAACTGTAGTCAAGAAAAGACCAAACAACTTTTTTTTAAAAGTCTGGGGGTGTACATTATTAAAACTTCTCTGAATGCACAACTTTGTGACGCAAAGCAATCCCCCTCACATCTAGCAACTTTAAAACAACAGGAAGCTTTGCCTAACACAGCAGAAAGCATTGCCACAGTTTTAATTCTCATTCCACCACGTGCCTGTGATTCTGTTGATCTACTCAGCAGCAGAGCTTTTAAACATCTGAAGGATTGTCTTTTGCTTAGTCTTAGGGAGTGAACAAATATCATTTGCGTCATTGGTATTAACCACACAATTCAAAACTTTTCCTTCCTTGATGCTGGGCGATTTCATCCGGACTCTGGTAGGGGACTGCCAGTTTTCATTGCAAGAACCTCTCCGAGTCTTGCGGTGATTCGTTTCAGCCTGGTTTTTTGGTACCTTTGAGGCTTTTGCCATCTTAGGACTTCCCTTTCTAGCAGGAGTGTCTTTCACAGACTGAGCTGATTTGGTGCGCAGAAGGTACTCATCTGGAGAGCCCTTTTGTCGATTAAGTGACCTTTCCTCTTTGTTGATCTGTTTTTGCAGCCGCAGAGCCAGAAGCCTGTCCTGCTCCTCTTGCATACGCCTTTCATACAACTGCTGCTCAAAAGCTTTCTGCGTTTGCAAGTCAAAATCATTTATCTGCTTCCCTTGGTCCTCTAAATTTTCTGGCCAAGTTCTTCTCCTCTTATCAAGCACACACAGATCATCCATTGCTTCAGCTGGTGGCTCCAGTGACTTTCTTTTTGGAGTCTCCTTAATGTTCTGCAGTCTCTCTGCTTGCTCTTCATCTGCATGTCTAGCCACCTTCAGCACACCACATATAACACTTTTGCCATCGGATACCACAGAATTTGTTGCTGACTGAATGCAAGTTTCAGCAGAGATGTCAAGGTTGATGCTTTCTATGTGTGTTAAACTGCCACTGTCCGACTCAATTCCATCACCTTCTCCTTTGGATCTAGGAAGACCTGTTCTAGACCCTTCCCCTTCTGTGATTCCACAAAGTGCGTCTGGGACTTCGTCTCCTACACAATTTGGTCCTGGTATTTTTTCCTGCTTACCAGCATCAGTTTCCCCTGAAGCGGAGGCACTGAAATAGTTCATGCACAATTCCGAAAACAAATCCTTAGCATTGGAATCTTTAATCCCACTGGTCAGCTGTGGAGACAGTGTTGGCATTTCCTCTTGCTCATCTTGCCATGCAGAACTGCTGCCTTCACTGCTACTGATTTCCTGTGGAAGAGGGAAAGATCACTAAAGTAAATTTATCAAATGCCAATGGCTATGAATCAAATGGTATCTCACTTCTCATAGCTGCACCGCTCATAACTACTCTGGGATATTAACTTAAAAAATATACATTATCATTTAATAAGAATGAAAATATTTCAGAATGAAAATATTCAAAACAACCTACAGAAGCCTAGCTAAAGGACTGAAAACACAACTGCAGCACTATCCTCTTCTTATCAGTAACTCAGATCAACTGTTCAAGGCATTAGTCTGCCCATCTTCTTCGGACCCTAACAGGAAAGATCAGACAGACACACAGAATGGTGAAAACCAGAACGCAACCCCCTCCAGTGAGCTCCAGAACCATCATTTAAGCTTTATACAACACCGCTTGCAACCCAGAGCTTGCTGAAGACATTCACAGAAGGTACTTGTGAGGCTATAGACAGTTACTCTCTAAATAAGCCACAGGTGTGTGTTTGTGAACTGTCAGGCATGGAATCTTTCCTTTGCACTTTTGGGAATCAAGAATATTAAGATAGTTCAAAAAGGCTAAGATAAACTGCCCAGCACTGATGTGCAAGGGGAATATAGGATTAGCAGTCCTAAAGGCAAATGGAAAAGAAGCCATAATTACTAACACTGAGATTTATAACAAAATCATTCTAATTACCACACAGCCAGGGTCACTCTCGCCTCTTTCTGCTGTTCTAGAGAAGGATGCTGATCCCAATGTATGAGGAAGCTTTGGAGAGAGATACCTTAAAAGGAAAAAAAAAGTATACTTATTAAAAGTTTTTTTCTTGAATTGTCAGTCCTTTGCATTAATCAAGATCTTCAGGTTCATTCTGACAAATAAAAACAAAGGAAGGGCAAGCGTTTCCCTTCTCCTCCATATTATCCTATGAGAAGATGTTTTAACATTCTACAGTTTACACTTGCCCCAGATTATCCAGGAAAGTTGGATGACAGGATTCCAAGGCAGCAAATGGAGCAGAAGGACACCACACCAAGAAACAGACCAATAGTAAAAGAAAACACTTTAATCACTTACTTCTGAATGTTTCCCGAGTTGCTTAGTTTGTTCTTCATCTTGCTCGAATTAGCTGGGGATGTTTCAGGTGAGAGACTGCCCACTGGTGAGGGACTGCTGAGCACATGGCCTCTGGAAGTGTCATTCTTCGATGACAAGTAGAAATAGCATTATAGAAACCTTAACACATTTTATAAAACAAAACAAAACACAACCTGGAGAAAACCCAGAGAAGTACTTCGTTTCTGCTGCAGAATTAGCTGCTTTTCTTGAAAGAATTTCAGAACTGTAAGTAATGGAGAGTTATGGAATAAGAAATGTTACGTGTTCTGTACGCTTGCCTGTCTCCAGCATTAAAGGAGAAGAGGTTGAACTCAAGCACACAGCTTTCATCATTAGGAATACTACCAAGTAGCAGAAACCCAACCACCAAAACAAATTAAAGCAAACAAACCCCCAAAACACAAGGTAATCTTTCGTACATTCTTTTTTTTTCAGTACAGGTTACAGATACCAATTTCTCCCAGAGTAGTATGTGGAATCATGGGGAAATTAAAATCATGGGGAAAAGGAAGTATTCGGAACACAAACCAATGTATTAATATGTTTCACAATGAAAACATCCAGCACGTTTCAAGTGCATATTGCACAGGCAGGCACATTTGCCATATTTCAGCCTTCCACTGGTTCTTCAAAAACTAGTGGTCAATCAAGGATCTAAAGTGCTAGGGGCTGACAACAGCTTGTAAAAATAAATAAATAAAAATAAAATTTAAGAAGAAATTTAAATTATTTAAAATTTTAACTTTTGCTCTGCAAAGCCCAAGTTGCCTGCACTATATCAACATTTTCTACCGTCCCCTTTGACCCTAACTCACCAGACTGTTACTCAGCTGCCAGGCCAACTCTTCATCTTGCTTCAGCTGTTTCTCCATCTCCCGCCGTCTCTCTTCTGCCAACCTGCGCTCTTCCTCCTCTTCTGCGAGAAGCTGCTGGATGTATTCCTCACTTGCCTTGTTCTCCTCTTGTTCATGCGCTCGCCTTTCTGCCTCCACCTAAAAAAGATTTTTGTTTAAAGGTTACTTCTGCAGGACCACACTTTAAGCCAGAACCTCTCAGCCGATGCTCCTTAAATGTGAATGATCGACTATTCACAAAGATGCTCTGCACACTTCAAAGCCAGTGTTTGATTACACAGCCCTCCAAAGATCTAAGAATCAAACTGATTCTGTGTGTAGAGCCTTCAGCTTGGTAACAGTGACCTACCTTTTGGTTTCTGTAAGACTATACCATTAACTGTGCTAGCGTGCAAGACTAAATTTCATTTACTCACCTTTGAAAATGTTAGTAACAAAACCCGAGATCTCCAAATACACAGATCTACAGAGAAACTCAGATTAAGATTCTTTACAAGGCTGGATGCCAGCTACTCCACAGCGTTTGCTCAACCTGTTTCTATCATCCCAATCCCAATATTAACGCAAGACACCTAACAGAGAGCACATCTCTCTTCTGAGTCTTCTTGCTCTCTTGAAACACACAAAACCCAAAGCAGCAGATCAAGAACTTTAGATCTGCCTTCCTTACGGCACATATCCACTCTTGGTAAACCAGTAATCAGTAAATCCACAAGGACAGCAAAGTACTTTAAGAATGAACAAGGCTTCCTAAAGTGAGCGATGGCATTTGAGAAAAGTGTCAAGCTGTAACACTATACAAGCTATGTTAAGTCTGAGTTTGTTTCAAATCATATTGAGGTTGTATGATTGGCACTAGACACCCCTATTTATTTCACTGCTTTTGGGCACCACCTCCATGAACTGTCGATACTATTGCTGCCAATCAATCTTATCCCCTGCCAGGAAAGAGAATCCCACGGTCCTCTGCTTCATGTACTTCCCCTGCTCTTGTACCAGCCAGCAATGGGGCTGTCAGGAGGTCCTGGTTTTGCTAGGACAGCATCACAGAATTCAATTTTCTATTCAGCAGAGCTGCATTTCTGAGAGGACTGCAGTGTTTGATTTAGTGAAAACAAGTTGGTAAGACACTTTGGTTTAGTTTTAGCTGGGATAGAGCTGTTTTTCTTCATAGTAGTTAGCAAGACTTTGTTTTGAATCTACTGCAAAGAGTGTGATAACACAGTGTTGTTTTGGTTGTTGCCAAGCAATGTTCACATTAAGTCAAGGTCTGACTGTTCTTCAATTCCTCCATTTTCTTCTTAGTTAGGAGGGGCCAGGACAGATGACCCAGGCATGATCCAAGTTGCCCAACAGAAAGCATCCTATAATATAAATGTCACACTCACTATAAATTGGGAAGTTTGCTGGGGACAGCCCTCTTTCCTTGATGGACCCATTCAGAGCATGAGGTAGGAGCTACAGATTAACTAGCACAAGAAAACTTGAGAAATGTCACCTGTGTCGAATACAAGGAATTACCTCCTCCTCCACAAATGATAAAAAATTAATTCATGCTTCGGGAACGGACAGTGTGTTCTTGCAGCAGCAATGCCTTTTAAATTACCTTTCTTTCCTTAAATAACATTACAGCTGTTTGGAGGAAGAACTAAAATAACTAGAAACAAAGCATTTATGCTTTTAACTATGTTTTTAGACTTACCTTGCTAATCTCTGCTTCATATTCCTGTCTCAGTTCCCCAGGCTTGCTCAGCTGGTGTTGCGGATGGGGAACACAGACTCAACGATAGGAAAGAAAAAAAAGAAGTGAGGAACAAAGCAAGATCATGACAGTCAACAACAAAAGATTTTAACAAAAGATCACTTCCATACCCTGTCACAGGACAGATTTGACTTAAGTGCTGTGGAAAAAAAAAAAGCACTTTGCATTACTGTCTTGGTTTTACTGGGATTGAATCATAGAATTTAATTTTTTGTTCAGGAGAGCTGCATTTCTGACAGAATTGCAGTGTTCGATTTAGTGAAAACAAGTTGGTAAGTTAATTCAGTTTTAACTGAGATCGAGTTATTTTTCTTCATAGTAGCTACTGAGACTGTTTGGATTCATGCTAAGAATGTTGATAACACACTGATGTCCTGGTTGTTGCCAAGTAATGTTTACACTAACTCAAGGACTGGTTTTCAATTTTTGCCTGCACCTGCACTCCCAGTTTATACTGGTTTGGTTTTGTTTGGTTTGGTTTTCTCTCTTTGCTCTGCACAAGAATTTGGGAGGGGACATAGCCAGATAACCCAGGTGTGATCCAAGCTGCTCAACAGAATATATTCTATACCATAAACATCCCACTCACTATAAACTGGGGAGTTTGCTGGGGACAGCCCCTCTTCTTCAGATGGCTGCTGTTTCCAGAAGGTCTCGCTTATTTGGTTCCTGACACCTACCCCTCCCTTGCCGCTGACCATCGCAAGTTTATTGGCATACAGCCAGTGACTGCTGTTTGAGCTGAGTATAATTTTGATTGCTTTATTATCATTGCTCCTATTTTTATTACAATTCATTAGTGTGATTATAAAATTATTTCGGTTTGGTTTAATTTAATAATTAAACTGGTCTTTATCTCAACCCACAAGTTTTCTCACTTTCACTCTACCGATTGCTCCCCCAGCCCAACAGGGAAGCAAATAAGTATACTGACCATACCTTAAGTCTTTTGCTTTTTGTGATTAAAAAGACTTCCTAACACTGCAAGTGGCACTACACGTCATAGAGCCAACCAACCGACCAGCCTCCTCCAACAGAGCTTACAATATAATAAACCCCAAAATCCTTCTTCAAAGAGTTAATCAGATTTCACTACCTTTTCTCTGACACCACAGTTTTAGGCTCACTCAGACTCCTGCATAGACGGAAGCCCTGGAATTTCTAATCAAAGTAATTAACAGCATCTAAGAGTTGAAAAAAATTTCACCACTTCCACCTACTTGATAGTGGAAAAAAAAACACACACAGATACAAATGCTCCACTTAAAGATTTTGCAACAGAAGTTGTACAGGCAGCCATACACCAATGCTTTGTGCAAAACATAAATGATCAATTGAGCTTACCCACTGCACTGCAAACAACAAAGGCACAGACCGCCATTTCTCTGCCTTCCAAGCCCCTTTCACAGGAAAGCTCTGACACTGCTTTTTCTAGCAGTACCACAGCCTGTGCACACACAGTTCTTTATTTATGGAATATTGTGTTCAGTTCTGGGCCCCTCAGTTCAAGAAGGACAGGGGATTGCTTGAAAGAGTCCAGCGCAGAGCCACAAAGATGATCAAGGGAGTGGAGCATCTCCCTGATGAGGAGCGGCTGAGGGAGCTGGGTCTCTTTAGCTTGGAGAAGAGGAGACTGAGGGGTGACCTCATTCATGTTTATAAATTTGTAAAGGGCGAGTGTCAGGAGGAAGGAGCCAGGCTCTTCTCTGTGATGTCCAATGACAGGACAAGGGGCAATGGGAGCAAGCTGGAGCATAGGAGGTTCAATCTGAACATAAGGAAAAACTTCTTTACTGTAAGGTTTACAGAGCATGGCCCACGCTGCCCAGAGAGGTTGTGGAGTCTCCTTCTCTGGAAACATTCAAAACCCGCCTGGATGTGTTCCTGTGTGACCTGGTCTGGGTGATCCTGCTCTGGCAGGGGGTTGGACTGGATGATCTCCAGAGGTCCCTTCCAACTCCTAAGATTCTGTGATTCTGTTATTTCACAACATCCAAAGTCCACCAACAGTAATCACTTTGGTAATACAGAGACATCCCCAGACAAGTGACATTTTACTTACTTTCCTCTTCCAAATCCTGTCCGTTCATCCTACGCTCACATTCCTTCGGGAAATTCTTCTGAATCTTTTCCCAGAGTTCCCAGTTGACAAGAGTATTTCTGCGCACATTATATCGTGCCCAGGAAGAGACTCGGCGCCGACAAAAAGGGCAACACAGACTGGCCTTTTCAACGGTCAGCTGGAAACAAGAATTACAGAGGGTATGGTTGCATGGCAGCGTGACAGGCTCCACAAAGATCTCCATGCAGATTTGGCAGAGGCAGTCAGACAAGGAAAGCGGAGCCTCTGATTTCTTCGACATACTGACTCGAAGTGGAGGAACAAGACTAGTACAACGACAGTACCTGAAAACAAAAAGAAACATGTATCTTATGTCCCATAATGAAAATAAAAGAAAACATAAAATACTTAAGTTTTACAGCTACTTTATGAAAGCATTAAGATTTAAGAAGTCTGCTTCAGCAGTTACTTTCGCTCACGATCCAAGAGTCTCAACTTCCAGAGGAAGACAGGGGTCTTTCCAGAAGTTACAGAGAAACAGTAGCAGGTTTTCCTACCATAGTTTCTTGTGAGCTGTAACAAGTGTTTCAGGGATAGTAAGGGGGTGTAAGGAGAGCAGGGAAAGAAGGTAAGAGTTCTTCCAGCATTTACTCCCTATTAATGATAAGCTAATATGGGTATGTTATCACTGTTACCTTAACGTTCCATTCAGTCAATTTTTCAGCATATGCACATCCTTCAAAAGCTGCTTCTAGCACAGACTCGGTTCCAGCATGTTCTGAAGGAGAAATACAACATGTCTATACATCAAAGGAAAGGAAGTTCTTCCTTATTCATTTATTTGCTTAAGCTTCGACTAAAAAGTCAAAATACTTTTTGTTAGTATAAGCAAAGAACTAACTAATGCCTTCAACACTTCCGCATCTTCTTCTATGACTTAAAATGGTGGGGATCATGCAGTCTTTCTATCACCTGCCCTCCTCACAGGATTTTTCCACTTGGCCCAGAAACACTATGGAACAGAAAATAAAACACACAGCAAAAAGGACAAAAATATTGTCTTGAAAGTTACAGGAACTTAAGTTCTTACAAGCTTCTGAAAAACGGCCTACTTCACAGAGACAGGAGGTCCTTCTGAGAGAAAGACTAATTTCACACAAGAACTCGACATGGAGACAAATACACTTTAAGTCGGGTTTTATTGTTTCTGCTCTCCCCGAGTTGAGAAAGCAAAGCCTTCATTTAAAAAAAAAAAAAGAAAAAAAAGATGCTAGCTAACACGAGCACACCCAGTTTTACAGGCGTAAAAGACCTAGTAAGTCCATGTATCCCCGTCCTGGGCTAAATTCAAGGTGCATACAGACATTAAAAACACCGCTTAGGGAGCCGCCAAGGTGCCCACGAGAGCTGGACGGCGGGACAGCCCC